GTAAAAATAAAACACAGGGCCGGGGATTTAGCTCAGTGGTTTCGCCACCTGCTACGCAAGCTCAAGGACCTGAGTTCGATCCCTGGTACCAAAAAAATAAAAAATAAAAAATAAAATAAAACATAGAGGGAAGGACAAATTGGGAATGACTGTCAATGGGGGGATACAGGATTTATTTGGAGGCTGATAAATATGTTTTGGAATTAGTGGTGATGGTTGCTCAACTCTGTGAATACACTAAAAACCAATGAAGCATACACTTCAAATGGTGAATTTTATGGTATGTGAGTTATATCTCTATATAGCTGTTAAAAAAAAGAGAGGGCACACACCTACTGGGAGTCTGGGCAACTTAGAGACTTAATGAGACCCTGTCTCAAAATTTAAAAAAGGGGTAGTGCAGGGGGAACTCAGTGTGAAAGCCCTGGGTTCAACTCCCAATACCACAAATAAAAAAGAAAGAAAGAAATTAGGCCCATAACTTTGTCCCATGCAGAGGCCAGGGCTGTGGCTCCTCTACCAACATCCACGAGGCCTCCAGAGTATGAGAAAGAGACAGAAAACGGGGTCTCATGCTCAGCCAGTGGGGCATGTGGCGCAGTGAGCCTCAACCCCAGCCCTACCTGCCTCCAAACTGGATGCCATTTCTACTTGGCCATGCTGGCTCCAGACTCCCAGCCCCTCCCTGGAGCTGCCCAGCATACCTGCGGCCCCTGCTCTGTCTGGCTGTCAAAGGGGTTCCCAACTACCCGAGCCTTGGCCCGGGCAACACTTCGCTCCACAAACTCCTCATAAACGTTCTCCTGCACAAAGGTCCGGGAGCCGGCACAACAACACTGGCCCTGGTTGAAGAACAGGGCAAAGTGGGCCTGTTCCACGGCCCAGTCCACTGTGGGTTGGAGACAGGAATAGAAAAGCGACCATGAGAAGAGGTGACTAACCCTGGCCCTGTCACTCATCTCCCACGTAGCTATTCATGCCACTATCAGGGATGGTGCCTGCTGGTTGCCAGAACCTGGGCTTTAATAAGACAAGGCCATCTAGGGCCAGGGATTTAGCTCAGCGGTTCCTCTGCCTGCCTCAAAAGCACAAGGTCCCGAGTTCAATCCCCAGTACCAAAAAAAAAAAAAAAAAAAAAAAAAAAAAGGTCTTTTCTTCTCACAGGAAATAAATTTAGGTCCAGTGACAAAATGAATGTCACATCAACTAATTACTCAAAAACACAGGGTCCCGAGTTCACTCCCCAGCCAAAAAAAAAAAAAAAAAAGACAAGGTCATCTCTCCATTCCCAGAGCATGGGGACTGGATAGAGAAGGAAGTCTCCTCTGGGAGGAAAGTCCAGGATGACAGCAGAGCGGCCTGCACTGACAGCATGTGGGGCACAGTGGCCTGGCCCAACCGAGTGGGTAAGGATGAGAGAGGAGAGGCTGTGGCCAGAACCGTGGGTCCCAATGCCAATCCCACTGGAGGCCTAAGGCTGCTGGAGAGAGCAAGATCACAACATGGACCGTGTAACTTACTATCGGCATCCGACATGATGATGTTGGGGCTCTTTCCCCCCAGCTCCAGTGTCACTTTCTTGAGGTTGCTGCTCCCCGCAGCCACCTGGATGAGTTGGCCAACCTGTGCGGATACAGAGACAAGCTCTCAGTGGAGGAAGAAAGAGCCAAATGCAGTGCAAAGATGTAGAACAGAGGACCCCTGAGTTGCACTAGATCACAAGAGCCCTGGAGAATTCACTCTGCATCTGTGCCCCAGCCCGAGCTCCTAGACCAGTGATGGTGAGATTTTCAGAGCTTTCAATGATACAAACAGTCTGCTGCAGCAGACATTGCAGAGGTTGCCACCACTGTCCTAGGCAGAATAACTGCACGCTGAGTGCCTCGTGCACACTGGGCCCTATGCCAAATGCTGTGTGTACATGAAGCCCAATCCCTGCAATGACCTTAGAGACAAATGTCACTCTTCCCCTTGATTTAGAAAAAGGAGCTGAGGCTCCAAGTGGCCAAGCCACAGGCCCACAGTCACACAGCTGGTCAATGCAGGATCAGGACTCGCTCGGATTCAGATCTGCTTCCAAGCCTTCTTCCCAGCACACTTTGTGCTCCATGAGGGCAAAGACAGTGTGCTTCTCACCGACATCTTCCCAAAGCCTGGCCCTAAGCCTCCTGAGCGTATTTCTGGATTGAACACAAACATCCCCCTCAGGGAACCAGCCCCTCCGTGAGACTCCCAACATCACCTCTCAGCTTTAAATTAGGAGGTGGCCAAACCAAAGGGGGATTCTTAACGCCATCACTATGCGAAAGCTGCATGTATGACACTTTATTGCAGGTGGAACTGTTTGAAGATCACATTCATTACCCTATTCTCTGTCCCTCTTGAATCCATCAACATAGACATCTGAGAAAAAGCTCATCTCTAGAAGGAATTTTGTCCCTGCTCTCAAGGAGATTATGTTATGGAATCACCAGAGATGGAATTTATCTTTCTCTCTCCTCTCACCCACTCATCTATTCAATCACCTAGCACTTTCTCCAGGATAAGCTTTACCTCTCCCACCCTCACTCCAACCCTGGGGCGGGTGTGGTTCTTACTCCCACTTTAAATAGAGGCATTAGGCGGCCAAGTGACTTGCCCTAAGGTTACACAACAAGTAAATGCTGCTCAAACAGTAGTTGACACCAGAGCCCATTGTCTTCCCACTACAATGTCCCTATTGTCCCTACTGCAGATACTACCATCCTCATAAAGGAAATGAACAGAGCCTTACAGACGCTCTGAGAATGAACCATGTCATGAAGTGAAGGTCAGGATTTGAACTCGTGTCTTTCTGAGGCCCACAACGGCAGTGCTGCTCAAGAAGCCTAATGTGGCCAAGGTGGTCTGGCTTCCACTCCAGGCTTTATGAAGTCCACCAGTCCTAACCTCCAGTAGTACAGGGCCCTTGCTCAAGCTGCTCAGAGGCCAGTCCTGGTTTGGAGAAACCAACATATGGCACCCAGGTGCTCCTCCTGACTTAGCAGCCTCTGAGGACAGTGGGAACTTAAGCCTGCTACACTGCAAGCATGAAGCCCCAGGACAGCTTACCTCGGTGGACCCTGTGAATGCCACTTTATCCACGTCTTCATGGGAGGCGATGGCAGCCCCAGCCGTGGGGCCAAATCCAGGAACAATATTGACCACACCAGGAGGGAAGCCAGCCTGTAGGCAAAAGCCAGGGGGATACTGTGAGTCACTGTCCTGCTCCAAGGGCCTGGACAGGGAGAACACACTCTTCCCCAGACAGGCCAAGATAGTCTATGGGGACACAAGGGAACAGACACCAGCTTTTATGGGGCACAGAATCCAAAATGCTTTGGACAAGAAGCCTGTTTGTGGGGGTCCCTGTGGACAATTCATAATTCACTTAGGGCAACGGCTTTCTCTTTCTGTGTTTTGGGGTTTTTTGGGGGTTTTTTGTACTGGAGATTGAACCCAAGGCCTTCACACTGAACTACATCCTAAGCTCTTTTTTTCATTTGTATCTCTCGAATGACCAGTGGTATTGAACATTTTTTCATGTTTATTTGCTATGTCTACTTCTTTGAGAAATGTCTGTTTATTTCAGATGCTCATTTTTGGATTGGATCTTTAAATTTGGGAAGTCTGATTTTTTTAAGTTCTTTATATATTCTAGATAATAGACCTTTGTCTGAGGAACAGCTGGTAAAAATTTTTTTCTACATTGTGGGTTGTCTTTTCACGCTGTTGGTGGTTTCTCTTGCTGTGCAGAAGCTTTTTAATAAGAAGATATCCCACCTGTTGATTCTTTGTGCTAGTTCACGTGCAACTGAGGTTTTGTTCATGAAATCTTTTCCTAGGCCAGTGTCTTCAAGAGTTCTACCTAACTTCTTTTCCAGCTGGTTTAGTGTTTCTGTTTTAATATTTAGATCTTTAATCCATTTCAATTTTAGCTAAGCTCTTTTTTGATTTTCAGACAGGGTCTTGTTAAGGCACTAAATTGCCTCAGTTGGACTTGAACTTGCAGTCCTCCTGCCTTCATCTCCCAAAGTGCCAGGATTACAAGTGTGCACCACCACACCTGCTCAGTGGTTTTCACTCTTTAAAAGGTGATCTTGCCATGAAGCCCAATGTGGAAAAAGCAAGCAGGGAGCCCCTGTGGTTTAACATGGTAATGATGGGGTTCTGCAAACACCCATGTTTTGAGGCCCTGGACACCTCTCCTCAGAACTCCTCCAGAACAAGCCTGTGCAAAGGCATTTAAAGGTCAAGATAGAAACAAGCTACACACCTCCTTGATTAGGCTGGCCACATAGAGTGCAGTGAGAGGCGTCTGCTCAGCAACCTTCATCACAACCACATTTCCAGTCGCCAAGGCTGGGCCCAGTTTCCATGCTTGCATCAGGAGTGGGAAGTTCCACTGCACAAAACAACAGCCACCCCGAAACCCAAGCCCTCCTCAGAGAGCTACACTGAGGGGCAGGAAATGCTTCCCCAAGATCAGAGGCAGCACTGAGTCCTTTGAACCCCATGTGACCCCACACCTGCATCATAGGATTAAAATGGATGGACGAGGCCAGTAGTCAATGATGAAGACAGTGACTTGTATTCATCTGTGCTCTTAGGTGCTAGGCACCATGCTAAGCCTTAATCTGAAGCAGGCACTAATTTCCACTTTTCAGATGATTAAATGGAGGCTTAAGGGCATAAGTGACTTGCTCAAGGTCCCAAGTGCACAGGTGGCAGGGCTCGGACTTGAACTCAGGTTGGCTTGAGCTGTTCTCAGCCACCACCTGGCTGGATTCCTACACCCCCTACAGACCCTCTCCCTTTGCCATGAGCCTGCAGACACTGCCAAATCTCACCCCACCCCCTTGATGACCTCTGGAGGGCTGGCACTTACCGGAATGATCTGCCCACACACCCCCACGGGCTCATGGCGAGTGTAGCTGAAGAAGTCTCCATCAATTGGAATGGTTTTCCCATGGTACTTATCTGCCCAGCCGGCATAATACCTTTAAAAGAAGAAAATCCAAGCTTTTGTCAATGTCAGGGACCCCTGCAATCCCTGGCAGAAAGAAGAGATTCAAATTGGTCCAGGGGCATCTTCCTGATACCCACCCTCATTCTAGCTTTCTCCCTGAGAGATAGACCAGTGAATGACTGGTAGGGCACAATAAGCCACTGTATGTAAGTATCCTCAAAGCTTCAGAATTACCTGGGGTACTTGTAAAAAACACCAGATTCCATGAGCCCACTCCCCAACTATGCTCAGTCCAGCTATCTAGGGGAATCCAGGGGTTTGTTTGGTTTTCAGTACTGGGAATTGAAGCCAAGGCCTTTGTCCTGAGCTACATCCCCAGCTCTTTTTAAAAAATTGTTTATATTGAGACAGGGTCTCACTAAGTCACTAAATTGCCCAGATTGGGCTCAAACTTGCAGTCCTCCTGCCTCAGCTTCCTAGAGTGCTGGGAATACAGACATGTGCCACCATGCCTGGCTCAGAAAGGGTTTGTTTTGTTTTGGAGACAGTGTCTCCCTTTGTAGTTGTGGCTGGCCTTAAACTCATTATGTAGCCTAGGCCTCAAACTTGTGGGATTACAGGTATGTGCCAACACACCCAGCTTCAGAAAGTTTTTAATAAGCAAAAAAGAATAACACTAAAACTCGGGAAGAAGTGTGGTAAAGTCTGAGATTCACCAAGCTGCTCTGGGGTGCCCTTGTATCATTTCTCTATCTCAGTACCACTGACATCTAGGGTTTGAAAAGTTCTTGTTGTGGGGACTTATCTTGTGCACTGTGCATTGCAGGATGCTTAGCAGCATCCCTGGCCTCTCCCCACTAGAGGCTAGTAGCACCCCTCCCTTGCATTGTGGCAATCAAAAATGTCTGGAAAAAAAAAAAACAAAAAAAAAAGCCTGGAATTGCTCACTTTCCCCTGGGAGATGTGACAGCCCTGGCTGAGCACTCCTGTGGTGAAGGGTAACTCCTAGTTTTCCAGCACTACTTTCTCCTCAGCACCTCTGTCTACATATCAGAGAGGAGCAGCCACTGTTTGTACAAACAATGGCTTGTCCACCCTGCACACAGCTAGTCAGACTCAAAGGTGCCAATCATGGTCCCTCCCCCCATGTCTTGGATTTAGGATGAAGAATTACAGCTTGGTCAGGTGCCACGAGCAGCCAGGTTCCAGCACAAAGACTGGCCTGGGAAGAGGCCACGTGGAGGAGAGAACAGTGAAGCAAGGGGCCAGGGAGAGTGACACTCAAAGCCTCTTGTGGATTTGAGACCTGTGGGCTCTCTATTGTCTGTGCTGGGCTGAGTTTCTGTTACCTGCAACCCCAAGGGCTCTAATAAAGCTTCTATTCTTTTTTTTTTTTTTTTTAAAGCTTCTATTCTTGGCCATTAAGATATTTATGGTGAAACTAAACCCAAAGCTGGCCAGAGGAAAGAAATAATAGAAATGAGAGTAGAGAACTGAATAGAGAACAGAAAGAATCAACAAAACAGCTGATAAGCCTTTAGCTGGACTAAGAAACACAGAGAAGATGCAAATAACCAAAATCAAAATTGAAAGTGGAGGGCTGGGGATTTAGCTCAATGGTTCCGCCGCCTGCCTCGCAAGTGCAAGGTCTCAAGTTTGATCCCCCAAAAAAAAAAAAAAAAAAAATGTTGAAAGTGGAGACACTACCAACCTTACAGAGATAGAAAAGGATTGAAAGAGAAAACGATGAACTACTGTGTACCAGCAAATTATGTAACCCAGATAAAATAGACAAGTTCCAATCGAGTAATGCGTAGATTATAGAAAGTGACTCAAGAAGAAAGAGAAAACATTTGTGACTAAGTTATAATTGTTGATTCTGAGAGATTTTCCCATGGGATAGAGTCTAAATGGAACTTCCTTCTCCAATTCCTGCGATCTTTTTACATTTCTGTAATTCTACTTCTACCTGCCAACATTGTTCCCTCCCTTTTGGCATAGCCAAAACAAAGAACAAGAAACCCAATCCCATACCGGATGCATTTCAAGACCATGTCCAAGTCCACCAGGTAGGAGATGACATAGGGCTTCCCATTGTCCAGGGTCTCCAAGGCCTGAGAAGAGAAATCCAGTTTAGCAAAGACATGTTGATGTAGGAACAAAATGGAGTAAATGGGCTGAGAAAAGGCATAGAGGCCTGGGCTAACACTGAACATCAAAGATATTTCAGAACCATAGCCCCACCTCTCCCAAGGCAGAGAGAAGATGGAAAGGGGACAGGCAGGATGAGATACCAACTTCTCACTCCCTCATTTCAGAGACATTTTTTTAGTTTCCAACCTTTGCCAAATCCAGGTGCTAGGAGTACAGAAATAAACATGGAGCTGACAGACCAAAGAGACAGTGAATAATGATGCAAATCATCCATGACACATGTTAAGAATCTACTGCACATGGTGAAAATGCTAAAAAGAAAAGACCAGACTGCCCAGCTCAGTCTTAGAAACACCTACCTAAGACTAAAACCTGAAGGACATGTAGGAGGCATCAGGTACAAATGGTAATGAAATGCACAGAACCCAGCCGGAGGGAACAGTGTGTGCAAAGGGCCTGGTGCTCAAAGAAGCCTGGCCATCAAGAACTCAAGGGGAGGGCCGGGGATTTAGCTCAGTGTTTCCGCCCTTTGCCTGGCAAGTGCAAGGACCCGAGTTCGATCCCCTGTACCAAAGAAAAAAAGAACTCAAGGGGAGGCTGGTGAGTGGAGCTCTGTGTTCTAGGGGCACAGGACATCAGCACTCGGGCAAAGGAGTCAGACCAGCAGGCTCTTGCAAATGACATGTAAAGGTTAGGAGCAGAGCACCGTGGTGTGATTTGCCTTCTGGAAGTTCACTCCAGCTCCTGTGTCCAGAATAGTGTGGATGGGAGAAGGGACTGTCTCCTGATTTCTTCTGCCTCTGTGGTCAAGAAGAGGGCCCAAGATACAAAGGGTCCAAGGGAAACATGACTATTTCTGGGGGTCACTCCCAGGAAGGCCTCGCCAACAAAGCTCCTCTCTCCTTAGTCTCTTTTCTTAGCCAAACCCACTGCATCAGGGATCGAGAGGCTCTTCTTACTGTGGCTCTTAGGGGTGCAGGGGTGTAGCACAATGGCAACCATCCTATGCCACTCTGATTGGTTAGGTGTCAGCAGTGTAGCCCCTGGCTGTGCATAGGATGCTGTGAGCTCCCTGGCCATGTGGAAAGGGAGGGCAAGAGGGCTGAGGACGCACTGCCAGATAGGTCCGGTCCCGCTCGATGAGATCAGCCAGGCGGTACAGCAGCCGGCCCCTTTCTGATGCATTTATGCGGCGCCAGGGCGAGCCCAGCTGGAAGGCGGCCCGGGCAGCCTTCACGGCCTTGTCCACGTCTTCCTGCAAAACACGCACAGGGCAGCTCAGACTTTCTCAGCATAAGCACTTCCAAATACTGCCCAACCCAATGCCAAGCCATGGGCAGGGCCGTCAGTACAGGCTTGCTCAGAAAAATGCCCTAAACAGTCCTTCCCAGCCCCCAGGGCTTGGTATGACTAGCACCAGGCTTCAGGACAGGGCTAGATCATGCACCTTCCTTTCTCTCCTTGCCAGGAGTCATGGTGGAAAGGAGAATCCTGACCATTTCTGCTTGTATAATTTTACTTCAAAAACCCCCAAAGAGGGGCAAAATATCCCTCAGAGTTTTGGGAGAAGAGGCACCCAGGGGTCTGCACTTAGAATTTGACCACTTTTCCCCACTCCCTAAGAAAGCAAGCCAGCAAAAGGAACCATTTCTTCTAAGATGCCTGGCATTCTCCAGAAAAATGCAAGCTTAACCCACTTCCCTTTCCTTGGAGAAGCAGTAAAATGCTAGCATCTTTCACATAGGGAGATATGAAGCAGGAGGCAGGGAACAGAGTTTTCACTTTACATTAAACACGTTTACCATCAGATGTTTTTCCAATAAACCAGAAAAATATTCATATTTGCTTTGAGCAAAAGATGCAAGGCTTTGTATATGAATGTAGAGGCTTGTCTTAAAGCAGAGGGCAGGAAATTTTCTTGAGCTATTTTTAATGCTTTTTCTATTGAAAATATTTTACTAAATCTAATTTTTAAGTTTTAAAAACACTATTACTGGGCCAGGGATTTAGCTCAGTGGTTCTGCCACCTGCCTTGCAAGTGTAAGATCCCGAGTTCAATCCCTGGTACCAAAAAAACAAACAAACAAAAAACTGTTACTTTTTTCAGTCCCTGTCATACATAATTCAACCTGACACCAGAACTATATCTCTGGAGACCCAAAGTCTACCCAACAAGATTCCACCCAGCTGTGCACTTCCCTTCTCTGACCTTCAACTTCCAGGTCTGTAAAGAAGACACTGGATTAGATGTTCCCCAAATGTACTTCCAAGTCTACAATTCCACACTATATGGATCACTGAATCCACTTACATTCTAAACATCTCTGTCTGTAGTAAAGACTTTCTGTTGATTCATTTACTCAACAATTTTAATTGGCTTTTTTAGGTTATGAAAGTAATATATGTACATGGTCAAGTGGCAACCATATAAAAACATATAAAAATTTAAAAATGAATGCAGTGCTGCCCTGAAGGAAGTCACCAGTTCTTACCTTGTTCCCTTCTGCTACCTGACAGATGACCTCCCCAGTGGATGGGTTGACTGTGGGGAACGTTTTCTTGCTGACTGCATCGTGCCATTCATTGTTTATGAAGATCTACAATGAGACAGAGATATATTTTCAGGACCAGCTTGCCACCAGCAATATAAAAAAATCAGAAACATGGGCTGGGGATTTAGCTCAGTGGTTCCGCCACCTGCCTGTCAAGCACAAGGTCCTGAGTTCCATCCCTGGTACCAAAAGAAAAAAAAAAAAATCAGAAACAAATAAGAAATACGAATCAATTGCTGTAGCCTCAGTGTTAAAAGCACAAGCCTTGGAGACCATCTAAGTGAGAATGTCCATGCTCCAAAGTGACTTTGGGTAAGTCATTTAACCTTATAGTACCTTGGTTTCTTTGCAAAATGAAGAGTGTTCCTTATATTCTAGTTATCTACTGCTGTGTAACCAATGACAAAAATTGGTGGTATAAGGGCTCTTGCAGGTAGCTGCAGTCCAAGGGCAGCTAGGGCCATAGGCACCTGGCTGGATGTGCAGGGTGGCTCTCTACTTGCCTATGTGGCACCACTAGGCTGCATGGTGGGTTCAGGCTGGTTCCCCTTCCATGTAGTAGCTAGCCTTGCCAGTGTGTCCCCAGAGAGCCAGGTGGAAGCTAACCAGCTTCCTAAGGTCTAGCTTCAGAAGTTGCATGGTTTCATTTCTGTCACCGAATTGTGTTGGTCACACAGTGAGTCACAGACCAAGTGCAGATTCACAGGCAGGGAAGAAAGCAACACCTTCTCCCTAGTAGAAGTAGCAAAACATTTTCAGCCATCCTTACTGTACTATGCTACCATCCAAGGTAGTGGAGAACTGGATTAGGTTATTCTTTTTGGCGGGGGGGGGGAGATAGGATCTTGATGTACAGTCCAGGCTGGCCTTGAACCCACTATGTAGCCCAGGCTGGCCTTGAACTCATAGTGATCTTCCTGTCTCATCCTCCCCAGTGCTGAGATTATAGGAGTGTGCCACCACGCCTGGCTGGGTTAGGTTATTCTTTCACCCTTTGGCTACTGAGTGAGTACCTGCCACAGGTGGGCACTTTTCAAGGGCTGAGGGCACAATGGAGACCGCCCAACAAAAGACTCTTGTGGTGCTTGTGGGAGGTGGTCGGATTATGTGGGTTTGTAGCTGACTTGCTGTTAGGAGGTAGGGCCTGCTTGGAAGAGGCTGGGCACTGAGGGCGTGGCCCAGAAGGGTACATCTCCCTCCCCAGCTCCTCCCCCTTGTTCTCTGCTTCCTGGATGCCACAAAGCAAGCAACTTTCCTCCAGACTCTTGCTGTGCTGCTCTGCTTTGGAGCCAGTAGACTATGTTCTGAAACCTCTACAATCTGTGAGCCAAAATAAATCTCTCTTTCTTTTCTTTTTTTTTTTTGGTACCAGGGATTGAACTCGGGTCCTTACCCTTGCGCAGCAGGTGGTGAAACCACTGAGCTAAATCCCCGGCCCCTCTTCCTTTTAAGTTGTGGGTATCAGGTGTTGTGTCTCAGCAACAAGAAAAGTGACTAAGACAACCATGCTTTCATGGTGCTGTTGTTCCAGCTGGCACAGACAATAAAATAGCAATCAAATACACATGATGCCCTCAGATTTAAGTGTTAAGTGTGAGGGGGAAAAACAGGGTCCAGAGAGAGTGACTAAGTGAAGGGGATGGAATACACCCAGGATGGCCATGGAGGGCCTCCTTGAAGAGATCTCTGCCTGGAGTCCTGAATGGTGTAAAAGAGTAAGCCACACACAGAGTGAGAGGATGAACACTACAGGCAATAGGAATAGCAAGTGTAAGGCCCTGATGCAGGAATGAACTGGATACAAAGTAAAGGCAGCCAGGGTTATTGGTGAACCAGGAAGGAACAGGAGATGGCTCAGAGTGGAGGGCAGGTCCTGTGAAACCCTGGCTCATAATTAGGCATCTGGCTTGTAATAGGGACTAGGCCATCACTGTGGCTGCTGTTGGACTAATAGTGACCAAGCCACATCTGGGGAAAGACCTCATTGCTCAGGAGGTCAGCATCAGGGAGGTGACTCAGAGAAAGGGTCCTTATCAAAGCTGGCTACTTACTAAATACCAGAGTTTGCTCTCTGCTACCTAATAGCCTGACAATAGACTGAGGAGAGCACAGAGATCTCCCAGCCTGCTACTCCCTTCAGGCTTGGGATTAGAACCTGGTCTCAAAGGAGGGTCCACAGTCACTTCACCAAGCAAAGGCCACAGGTGAGATGAGGGCTGCCTGCCATCCTCAAGTGGTCTCTTTGGTTTGGGTGGCTCCGGGCCTGGGATCCCAGGGAGTCATCTACAGCCACCCAGGGGCAGCTGTGGCCTTTACTAAGACCAAGCCACCAAGCAGAGCCTGGAGCTTGGCTCCCACTAGGGCCCAGGGAGGGTGGCCAGTCTCAGTGAGCAAGAACAAAGGTTCAAGGGAAGAATCCAGATGAATGGGACGCTCTTGCTCCTAGTTTGTCACAGGGGCAAGGCCTTCCCCTCTCCTCCCTTCCTCATCCACAGAGTAGGGGACCACCAGTGTACACCCTTCACAGAGTGGCATTCTCAGATCCAAGGGCTTGTCTCCAGCCTAGCACAATGCTGTGCCGCTGACAGGGTGGTGACGGGAAGGAGTGGTCAGGGAAGGGACTGCTGAAATTTGGTCTCTCCACCCAGTCCCTAAGCCACCATGGCAGCTGATACACAGCTGTGCACAGTACAAGGCTCTGGGGATCTGGCAGGAGAACTGGGTAAACATTACCTAGGTTTTTGGAACTAAGTTTTTACGGTTTCATTTGAGTCAGTCAATTATTAACCTTTAGAGAAATGATACCTGTCTTCTTTCCCACGAGGGCGAGCAGTCTCCAGCACGACACTGGGTGAGGCAAGAAGGGCTCAAATTCAAAGCCAGGCCAACCACTGGCCTCTGACCTCCAGGCCTCAGTGCCAGCCGCCTTGGGCCTTGGCCATGCCTGGGTGGGTCCAAGCTTCCTCTGGGCATTGCAGCGAGGAGGGAAGCGAGGGGCAGCTGAGCATCTGTGCAGCATGCGGAGGGTCTGGTGACACTGGCAGGCAGGCATGGCCGCTGGCTGAGCTTCTGCTTCCACCTTCACCCACCATGTGCTCAGGGCTCCCACCACCAGCAGCTGCTACACAGCAAAGCACTGGAGCAGCAGGTTGGGGACAGGCACGCTCAGGGAAAGCAAATGCTCAGCCACCTGCAGGTCAAGGAACCAATAACACAAGCTGCTCACTCTGTGGCAGCCCCTATACTGGGAGTTCTATGTGCTTGGCTCTTTCCCATGTCAACCTCACGGCAAACCTGAAAGCAGACTTCGTCTTCTTGACTTCCCAGAGGAAGACACTGGGGCACAGCAGAGGCCAGCCATTTGTTCAAGGTCACACAGCAGTGAAAGCACAGCCAGGATTTGAATGCAGGACTCTACAGTGTGTACTCTTTCCCAACTCCAACCCTAGCCTCCCGTTAGTGTTGTGGCAAAGTGGGAGTCGAAATGATCTTTCAGGGACCAGGAGAGTTGGGTAAAATAAGAAAGAAGTGTACTGCCAGGCAATGGCCAGTCTCAGGAAACAAGTCCTTATAGACTGACCATGAGTTAAGAAAGTTTCTCCTTTATATATCGTTTACAGAGTAAGAAGTTCAAGTCGTGGTTACACAGCTGTGTGGCAAGACAGCAAGGGACCTTTTCATAGCTTCAAGGTTGGGGGCTTACATAAACAGTTTCAAGGCTGTTCTCTTATCTTTCTGGAAATAGGCTGCCTCATCTGAGGGGAAAGGCTCACCTGGTGTTTTTTAAAGCAGGGACAAGTTGACACAGACAAGGTTTTGCAATAGCTCACACAAAGCACAAAAACAACATATTTCTCCTATATTGTTATTATTATTGTGAAGCTGACATACAGTTCATGGACAGATGTGCTACAGTAATTATTCATTTCAAGTTATGTTTAGCAGCTCCTTCCACTTCATTAGGGCTCAGGTCTGCTTTCAAGAAAGCTAGAACTCTCTTGTTCCCAAATCTCCACCTCGATAGTTTACTCACTGCTACACCCCACTTTTATGTTGCATGTCATAAAAAGCACCAACCTCCAAGCCAGACAGACTGGGCTCTGAATCCTGACTCTGCTCCTCAGAAATGGGAGCCTCAGCAAAACCCTTCCCTTCCCAACTGCTTCCTCCAGTATTACTGGGGGCAGCATGAGGACTAAGTGCAATAAGGGGTGCACAGTTGCCAGGCCAGGACCTAGCTACAGCACCATCACTCCAGACCCTTCGGCTCTTGGGCTACGGATACTTAGCAGCTAGGGTCAGGTCTGCCACATTTGTGTTGCTCCCTGGCCAACAGCACCCTAAACTAGCTTGTTCTGAAAAGGTTTTCGCTATTTTGCAAAGACCCGGAAGAAGGGAAGAGGAGGGCCTGCCAGGTTCGATGTTCACTGGCCTCACCCCCTCCCTTTGATACAGATTATGGCTCTGAACAGTCACTCCCTGGCCATGTGCTTCTCCAAGCCCTGAATTTGCTGCATCATTCTTCATGGGTGAAACTGGTTCAGTTTTCAACAATCTGCCCTCCCTTCTGAGCTGATGAGATAAACTGAGCATTGCCCAGCAGGATCCTGACAACTGCTCTGGCTTGGAGACTTAGTGGCCTCCATCCTGGCAAAGGGGCTAAGCAGGAACTTTCTCACACTGAGCTGTCACAGCTCTGCTTCCAGCAACATCTTAAAAAACACAAGACCAGAGTCCAGGCCAAATACTTTAAAACCTCCTGGCTCCAAACCAAGCCTAACTTGCATAACACTCTAAATATGATTAGCTCTGGTGTGTGTGTGTGGCGGGGTGCTTCTAGCTCACATTTCCTCTTTCTGGTTTCTAGAAGCAGAGCCAGGTCAGGAGTTGGCTTTTTCAATCTGGTCCGTTGGTAAAATGCATAGAATGTTTCCATCAAGATCCTCTCATTTCATTCTGTAAATGAAATGATCCTCCCATGTCATTCTGTAAAGGCTGGACTCTCTCCATGTGTTCCATAAGCCTTAACTGGGTGCCACTGCCAG